ATCCCAACATAATAAGCGGCAAATCATGGGCCTGGATAGCTCCGTTGGTTAGAGCAAGGTACTGATAATGCCAAGGTTGCAGGTTGGATCCCTATGTGGGGCAGCTGTATATTCTTGCATTGCAGGGGGTTGGACTAGATGATCCTCAGGGTGCCTTCGAGCTCTACAATTCCATGATTAAGATCACCATTTGCTCTCTATATGCTGAGCAAGGCATTCAACAAATTAACCTACAAGAAGCCGAAAGCATTATATTATGTTCCTTCCCACACCCAGCAAGCTATAGAAAAAGATACATCTTGATGAATGAGTCAGGTAAAGATGAGCTGTAACATCTTTGAGTGGAAAAAATGGTTAAGGAATCGCAGCAGTAAAATTACTTGTGAAGTTAAGTTCTAAAAAGAAGTTAGTATACGTATACTTGCTACAGTTTCTTTAGCGAGATTACACTACAGTTAAACATAAGAATTCATAGCTTGTGCCCAGAACCTCCCAACAATAATTCTGTGTGTGAGGACTGGCCCAATAGTCACAAGAAACGCTTCCCTCTGCCAGTTGCAGAACTGCAGGGAAGGCTAGCCTGGCGGCAGCTACCAACAAATGTATGAATAGCTGCTGAGAGTTTGTGTCCCTTCTCCCTCATGAAGTGTAATCACAATTGCCAGCTGCAGTGAAGCAGGCTGCCAGAGGGCACAAAATATTTGGGAGCATTCATGGAACTTTTCAGGGGAGATTCTATTTTGTCATTGTTTCCTGTGCCTTTTAAAAACAATGAAAAATAGCAAGCATTTGCCCGGAGGCTTAGGAATAAGGTAAGATACTGCAGCAATAATTATTAGCAAATTATATGCTGCCCTGAATAACGAAGGGTGCATCTACATTTACAGTGCTTTCTTATACATGTCTACCCGGAAGTAAATCCTTTTGAATTCAATGGGGTTTACTCCCAGTAAGCAGGTATAGCATTGCAGCCTCACTTATTCATAGCATGTTCCATTTACAACGTTATGCAGAAGCACAGAAAGAAAAACTTTTCAACCCTCGTGTCCCAACACTATGTCATTTTGTACTTTTTTTTTAGTCCTATTATTACTGTAAGAGGATATGCACTGTGTTTTATCCTCCTAGAGCAGGAATCACCTCTCTCTCTCTCTTCACTTGTTTTTTCCGGTCCTCCTCCTCTTGTTCTTTCCTTTGCTGTTCCTCCCATTCTTCTTTTATTCTTTGCTTTAAAAAACAAACAAGAGACTGGCATTATGCTAAATATCTCCATGAAGGCTGAACAAATAAAATAATTTTATTTGCTATTTGGTTTAACCAATAAGTAATAAATGTAAATTAATTTGCCACTTACTTCTTTTGAGATACTGAAGAAAGCAATATAGGTCATTAGGTGTGTGTAAACTTCTTCCAGCCCCCCTTCATTGCAGACTACAGTTAACACAGAACTGAACTAGCTTTAAAAGTCCAACTTTGCCCTCATCATTTAAAATCAGCCTCCCAACAATCGAAAACTTTTCCAGAAATAAGCCAACCTTAACCACTATAGTGCTGTTTTCCAAAATTAGTCAAAGGTAAAATGAAGGTGTGAAATCTAACACTGTCCCATCTGCCAGTGGAAAAGTCACCTCTGACAGAATTGGTTCTCATTTCCCCCCTGCAGTTCCTCCAGCAACCCTGCTCCAGTAGGTTGCAGGGTTTTCCAGCAGAGACAGATGGAGGTGATGGGTGGCTGGAGAGAGACGTCCTCTCACACAACCATTGCTTTTTGGTGGGTTTTTTTAATAAAGACCTCAGAAATTATTTTTATGTTTAGAATATCTGCTCCAAAAGGGTAATCAAAGCATATACTGCACCTCTTCCTCTTCTTGACGTTTTCTTGCTGCCTCTTCTTTTGCTTTCCTGATCTTAAAAGCTTCTTGTGCCTTTTCTTCTCGCAGCAACCACTCCTCATGAAGCCTCTGCCTGCAAATAGAATCCGATGAATGCTGGGTTATCTGAACATCATCAAACTTACTATTTTTTTATTTCTAAAAATAACAATAATTCTGTCTCTCTATTTAAAATAAATATTTTAAAATATTCAAATAATATTCAAATTAAGTACTGTTTAAAATAGCAAAAGCACAGCAGTAAAGTAGCAGCAGTATGGCTCAACCATATAAGCTAATTACTATTAAGAGTGTGGGCACCCGGGGGAAACATGGCCTGGTGTCTAAAAGGTAATAATGATGGTGTCAGACTAAGCAACCTGGGGATAGAATTCCAGGGATCTCTCTTGTGTAGTTGCTCACCTAATCTTCAAAGGCGGACGTCTAAAGAAAGGCCTCAGAAGAGCTAGGGGGCACAGGCTCCAATTCATACAGTGCTAACTTATACATGTTTACTTGGCATTTAAAGCACTATGTTCAATGGAGATTACCCCTAGAGAACTATGAATAAGGTTGCAGCCTCAAGACTATTTAGCAAAGTAATTCCTCAAAGTTTTGGACTATGGCCTAAAAGAGGCAATTAAACACTGCAACTTTACACTTCACTTGCACAACAGCAGTGGGCTGGAAGGGGAGGACGGAATTGGCAAAAGTCACCCCACCTCTGCCAACAAGAAGGTGGAAGTAAAGTCTGGATCCAACCCACCACCTTTGCATTTGGTCTATTGAGCTAGCTAAGCAATGTTAATATATCATAGGGGCATCCTCTTGTTCCATCACATTTCATTGAATATCAGCCACTGGAACTTTATTCTAAGTAAATATGCATAGAGTAGAGCTGCCAATTAAATATAATTTTAATTTACCTTTCCTCTTCGAGTTGTTTTTCTTCATCACCTAGGTCGTCATCTTCTAGCTTTTCAGAAACCTGTTCATCTTTCTCTCCTTTTTCTGAAGAGAAAAAGTGTACCTCTTTTTAAATATATAACATAGATAGCTTACCCTTGCCATGAGGCAAACCACTGAATTCTACACAATCTAAGGTCCAAGACAGTCATCAGTGCATACATAGAGCCTATGTTCTCAAGATTGCCACAGTCATGAATTGCAATTCCCAACCTATGATCAGATGAAGAGGCTGCAGCCTTGTTGACAAGTAATGAAATACAATTACCTATTATTTTCAATCTAAAACAACATTTTTAAACACTTCTGAATACCAATGACAACCATCTTCTGAGAGCTGAAATTTAGCTCATATTTCATCAACTTAGCTTTTACCTGAATCTCTCAGTCTTGCTAGTGCTTGTCTCTTTTTCTTCCGTTTCTCTTTCTTCAAAAGGGCTCTGTACTTTTTGTGGCTGGAAATGGAAAAAAGATTCTTCTTTGTTTCTGTAGTAATTGGCCAGCTAACAGTCAACTAGGATTTCTCAAGTGTTGAGCATACAAACATTTATAACAATGTTTTCTTATTGGATTAAAACAACAAACAAATGTTATGATAGTTTTGCCATGGAATTCTATTCAATATGATCCAGAGCAGAACTCCGATGTATAGTTAGCGGAGTAAAAACTTAAACACATTGCAGGATTCCCCAAAAATAGACCAGAGAAAGTTATTTCATCTAGCAGAGCTTTACTGCTACTGAAGGCAAATGAGCATAATGGTCACAAATCCAATACATTCAGGATTGGATGCAATCCATAAGAAATCCAGCTGCAGCAGACTTAACTTAAACTTACAATAACTTATAAGTCTAAACCTTAACACAAAGCATACTATGTACAGAACACCACACCAGAACCCTCTTGAATTAATTAGAATAGGAAAGATCTCTACACATCAGATCAATACTTTCTGCACTAAGAAATGCAAACTGATAAGTATATCACAACAAACCCAGTGGGACTTCGGTGAAGACATGTGTGAGATTGCCCTGTAAACTGGTTCTTTTATGGCAAATTCCTACGCATATTTATTCAAAGTTCAAAGGCTACTGGGATTGCAGCCATTAATGTTAAAGTTGAATTGTAAACACTTAAATTTACTTGTTTAATATTTTGCTACAAAACATTTTTTGGAAAAAAGAAATGAATACAAGCTTATTATTCCAACCAAGAAATAGAGGAAAATACAAAACGAATAATAAACAAAAGATAGAAAAACTGGACACAGATTGTCAGTTCTATACAATTTCTAGTTCAAAATGTATACATATTATCAAGTCTAAGAAATGTTTCAACAGCAGTTCCCCAACCAACTATAGAAGTACAATGTCTTTTGTTTTAAAATGTACCAAACTTCCCAGTGCCAATCCTTAAGACATTACTGTACTCCTTTAACACTTCTTTACTATTGAGTTTGCAACAGTTGGCATAGCCTCAGGTGTCTTTTTAATTACATACCAAAGGCCTAACGGCATCCACATAAAAGGGGCACTTATTTTTCTCACTTTCTTGGCTCGGATCGGTGACCCTTTCTCTATAAAGGCTTAACGATTTTGCAATTTCACTAAGCATTAAGGGTTTTGCATTCGCTTCAAGCCACAGCGATACTTCAAAGCTCACCACCTACCTATACGTTCCCCGCGGCAGCGCCCTCCTTCCTTCGCATCACAACAAATGACATCTGCCTGCCTCATGGCTTCGTCCCAGGTACACTTTAATCCCACCTATTCGGAGCTAAGTAGCACCCGAGGCACGCAAAGCCTGTCAGGCTTCCCAGCGGCCCCTGGAGAAAGCTTCCCGCCCTTATGAAGCCCAGCTCAACCTTCCACTACCAGAGGCAGGAGCAGCCCAGCTTATACTTGGGTCGGTGGGGAGGGGGGGTGGCGAGCTGCCTCATCACCGAAAGCGCCACGTGTGGGAACCGGGAGCTGCGACGAGCGGATGAGCGAGCGAGCGAGTGAGCGAGCGCCACCTCCGGTTCCACCTCCGTGCGGGAAGCTCCCCATAAGGGGGAGCAGACCCTTCGGCAGAGCCCTCCTTACCTCACTTTCGCCGGCCCTTCTTCCGCCACCAACGGCGGAGACACGGGCGCCGCCATGTTCCACAGTTTCTAAGGCAGTCACGTGACGGGGAACCGCCGGACGTGACGCCCGCTCACTTCCGGGTTTGCTGCCGGAGCTGAACGGTCTAAAAGCTAAGAAACGTAGGAAGCGTCGGATTCTGCAGCGCCTCCTTTCCTGCTGCTCTGGGGTTGGAACTGGCTTCCTGTACTCACTTCCAGTGCACAATGCAAAAGCGGGTTTGAATTAAGAGAGAGGCAAGGCATAGGGAAGTGGACCATCTCTTAAGTTTCTCGCTTGCAAACGCCTTTTTCTTTTTTACACTCTTCTCCCCGGGGTGGAACTAGAATTGTCTATATAGAAATCAATGGGGGAATCCAAAACTTGAAGGCTGCAGACAGAAGCAAAGACAGGAGCCCATAGTCCTACTCAGAGTATCTCCTGTTGAGATAATGAACCTAAGGTCGTGTCCTTTAATTTAAGGTGTACTCTTGAGTAGTTGAATGCAGCCATGGGTGTAGCTGCCCCCCCATCAATAAAAATCAATAAACATACGAGGTCCTGGCCCCCTAACAAAAGCCTGCTCCCTAACAAAAATCCTGGCGACACCCATTAATGCAGCCCTTTCAAGTCGCCCGTCCATGTGCATGGAAGCCTTTTGCATGCAGTTAAATGCAGGAATTCAGATTCATAGCTGTCAACCTTCCCCCCCCCCTTTTTTTTTTTGCGGGAAATTCCCTTATTCCAGCGCTGCTTTCCGCTGCTATCCCCGGGACAAGGTGAGGTTACTGATCCCTTATTTTCAAGGCTGTTGATCCCTTATTTTCAAATCTGAAAGTTGACAGCTATGTTCAGATTGGGGGTGAAGAAGTTGAATAAATGGCCCTTTGCTGCAACCTGTGGGCTGTTTTGTATGCAGGGATTTTGGCTGAAAATCCATACCAACCATACCTCTGACCAGCAATGTGGATTGCACTGTGTTGTTGCCTCCTGTTCAAAGACACACTCTTGTCAGTGGTTATCTCCCCAGTTACAACAGGGCTATGGTAGCAGTAGACAATACTACAGGATTGTTGAATGCTATTTTCTCAGCCTGACCTCCCAACCTGCATCGTGGGGATATAAATGTGGGCAACATTACAAGGTTGTTGTATGCTACTCTTTCAGCCTTAAAATCCGCACAGTGCCATGAAACTCACTGCATGATCTTGGTTGAATCACTATGTCTCAGCCAAACCTACTTCACAGGGTGGGTGGGAGAACCAAGCATACTGCCTTGAGCTCATAGGAGGAAGGGTAGAATTAAAATGGGAGTAAATAAAGAATAAATAACTAACCCCCAACATGCAAAAGAGATGTAATCCCAAAGAACTATGTTACAGGGTTGTTCTGAACCACTTCCAACTGGCAATATTAATTTATTTATGGTATTTATGAATCCAAAGGAGCTCAGGGTCATATACAAGAAGCAGTAAGGCAAAATACTTTGAAAATGAATAAAAAACATACACAAGCTAAAAATGAAATAATAATTCTAATCCCATTTGTCTTCAATTCAATATGACTTCTGAGTAGACTTTGTTAGGATTGCTAATCATCAATCATCAAAACACTAACTCCTACTACTAAGTATTAAACATCTCATTGTCAAAGTAAATGTCTATATAAATAAAAAATCTAGGGTAAGATCATTCCAAAGTTGTGTTTCCACCACAGAGGAGGCCTTTATGCACCCTCTCACCATGAATCCTGGCAGGGATCAGAAGCAGAGTCCTCTGCGTCGCCACTCTGGCTCTCTCATCACCCCCAATTTTAAGGAGGAGGCAATCCTGCAGATATTTGGACCTTGAGTCTTTTACGGCTCTACAAACAGTTGCCAACACCTTGAAACCCAGTAGTACAGAGGCAGCCAATGCAGAACTTTTAGGGTCAGAGATACCAGGTCATATATCACTGCCCTACTTAATAACTTGGCAGACACATTCTGCACTAGTTGTAGTTTCCAGTTTGTTTTTGAGTGCAGCCCCACATAGGCAAACTGCAATAATCTGAATGAAATCATCAGAGCCCAGGTAACTGATAGCAGGTTGTCTTGTTCTTTGAAGGGCCATAGCTGGGAAGAGATGCTCTTTGCTACCACAATCACCTGAACCTCCAACAACAACAGTGAACCAAAGAGAAACCCCACGCTATGTAGCTGCTCCTTCAGCGGGGGTGCTACACAATCCAAATCTGGCTGTCTTTCCGTTTCCTGGACATGAGAAGTATGTGTCCCTAGTACCTTCAGCTTATCAGGGTTCAGTCATAGTTTATTGGCCCTTGTTCAGTCTGTCACTGCCCACACTACATCTGTTGCCTCTCCTGATTCAGGTGGCAAGAAAACTGGCAGTGCTTCCCCTCATAACCCTGGATGTCTGCGCCTAGCAGTTTCATAGCATGGGAGACAAGACAGAATCACAATTAAGGATCATATATCTCTTTTCACATTTGAAATTGGCTGCAACTGTCTTGTTTTTTCAGTTTACTAGGAAGGGTCAAGCAATTACCAGACAAGTCTTCCAAAATCTTCCAGTACAGTAATATATTTACATACTTGGCCAAGGGAAGTTAATTTTTAGTGCGAAACAGTAGTGATTAACTCCCCCAGAATTTGACACAGTTGGAGGTCTGTGCATAGCTATTAATTAACTTCTATGAACGTCTAGTAAAATTTTGACTGTCCTGGGCATTTAAAGGGAACTAGAGAAAGAAGAGTTTTTGCCGCGTTGTCCTTATTTTTCCTTTTTGGTCCCTTACAGCTAAACAAAGATGAAGAGAATAAAGAGGCATGAAGTCATTTAAAGAGGAAAAAACTTTTTTTAAAAAATAAATTTTTATTAAACGTTTCAAAAGTTTTTTATCACAACAAAAACAAAACAAAACTATACAATAAACAAAACAAACATAAAAACACGTATAATTTCAACCCTTATTTCTTACTTTCTCGACTTCCTCATACCTCCCCTTTCTGTATTCCAATTTCTAATTAATTGTTCAGCAAATCCTTCCCTTAATTTTGACTTAATTTTAATCTTACTTTTTCTCTTTAACTTATCCATTACCGCTAATAACCACGTTTTCAAATCCAGCGTCATTTTAACAATCATTGATTTTGCAATATTTCTTTAAATGGTCCTTAAATTTTTTCCAATCTTCTTCCGCTGTTTCTCTTCCCTGGTTTCGGATTCTGCTCGTCATCTCTGCCAGACCCATATAGTCTATCAGTGGTGCAGCAGCACCAGATTGTCTATAATCTATAAGTGGTGCAGCAGCTGTTTCGGCTCAGTTTGGGTGTCCTGTCAGCAGCACCAGATTGACTCCTGCTGGTGTGCCTGAACTGCCCTGGCCTTCCTGCTGTCTTCCCCCCTCACCATCCCAGTATGTGTCAGAGATGCTTCTGCTAGGAGGTTGGGTCTGTGGCCCCTCAGATTTGCACAAAACCAGAAAAGTGCACTATTAGTTTGCTTGTGTAGGTTTCTGGTTTTGTGCACATCTGAGGTATCAATAGGAGGGAAATGCTCAGTTCAGGGGTGCTAGGAATAGTTAGCAGCACAGCTGGAGATGAAAAGCAATTGCGTTTTCTCAGTGCACACTTTTCAGATTAACTTGCTGTGCTGTGCTGTGCAGTACTGTATAATGCAATATCTGGTGTAGGAATTCTTAATGTGGTTTGCTAGTGCAGTTTTCTGCCTTGTTCAGATCTGAGGGATCAGAGGGGGAAATGTAGTCCAGGAGCCACAGGAAACAGTTATAAGCACAGCCAGGAAAGAAATGAAAGCATCGAGGAAGTAAGAGGCATGGAAACAGAATGTCTGACAACTGATCTACCCACCCAAAACTACTGAAACAAATTTTCTGTGATCGCAGTTTCCCCAATCAGATTATCTCCATATCTGGTAAACCTGATTTTGCTTGGGGAAAGCATCAAGATTGTTGTTGTTTGAGGGTAATGTCATGTGATCTACGCAAACAGCTGCAAACACAGTGTGGATGAGCCCCTGCTAGGTGTAAATAAACTGTGTTCATTTACTTTGCAGTAGCCTGTCCTGCACTGACATCCAAAGCAGGCCGCATGAGTAACCACAACACTTGTTGCTGTTTTGGTTTTTAAAGCATAAGAATATTAAACAGAATGTTTCCTCTCCTAGCAAATCTCATTATATCTATTAAGAGAGCAGCTGCAACTCAGATGCATTCAACAACATTTACTACCTGGTTAAGAAGCTGTAAGGAGTGAGTGAAAAGGAAATTGCACCGCCTATACAATTTATCATGGAATCTGGTGGGTATAAAGATGGATTAAAAACAACTCAACTTTTTTAGAGTGGAGTTCTGGAACAAAGCTTTTCTTCAGTTATAAGCTGTGAAGCCCGGAAACCCAAAGTTCAGCTAATCCTGAGATTAGCTGCTAGCCGCAACATGTTTACTTTGGTGATGGGAGAGGGGGGGAGAAGTCAACAACTACAAATTTCAGAAAACTATTGACATTGTTTTTACCAGTGTTAGATGAGCACTCCACCCTTCTTAATACTGTGAAACTGATCAAGGTGTGTGTGTGTGTGTGTGTGTGTGTGTGTGTGTGTGTGTGTTTTAAGAACATTGTTAAATTGCCATTTTGTCTGGCATCATCTCCAGAAGCCCCTAATTTTACATTACCAGTGTCTGGTGACCTTAGGGCAAATGGTTAGAAGGGACTCATTCAAATGCTTCTTCACACATCTAGCTGATTATTCGGCACAGAAGGAAGTGATGAGTAAATCTATTCACCTCCTGTGCTGAATCATGATCTGGGGCCAAGTACATCACTCCCTGTTTGATTACTGGATGACTTACAAGTGAATGTGGCCACCACTGAAGAGTACAGTGATGTGAGTTGTCTGCAGTATTTGATCTGCAGAGGCTATTTCACACATGCAATTCATCCCTTGATGTTGGAGTCACTGAGTGATGAGCACATACGTGAAGCTTCAACTCCAAATCCAAAACATTAAACTACTGCTTCATTATACTGCACTGTGGAATGTACATTTACATACCCTCCAACATTTGTCCAATGAAAATAGGGATGTCCTCTTCCATGATAATGATGCTTGTTTTATTTATATCCCACCCATCTGACTGGGTTGCCACCCTGCACTCAGCTCTCACCTGTAGCTCCTAGAAGCTGTCAGCATGGGGCAGCAGCCACACCCCAGGAACAGATTTGACTGGCTGCCTAAACCAGGTGAGGGTAGCTGGTGGGTCTCAAACCCTCAGTGAGTAAGGGTCTTCCTTTGCATGGGAAGACAGGTTCTAGCAGATTGAGCGGGTGTGGCCAATAGTGGCTCCAATGGTCAAGAAGGTGGTTTCTGCATTATAGAAGGAAGTGAGGGGCAGATGAGGCTCATCAGTGTGGGAAGGTAGCCCATCTAGAAGAAGGAAAACTCTGATCCTAAACCTTGTGGGATATCTTCAGAAAAAGAAAAAGCTAAAGAGTAAACCCTACACAAATCCACAATAGATCCCTAAGATGGTTGGAATGCACCTCCTTCCAGCAACTCCTGCAGGCAAGTTGGTGCCAAACGGATTGCTCTAATTTCCTTTACACCACATCACTGAGGTTGAGAGGGGGGTCTTGTTGTCTAGGCAGCCCAGGACCTCCACTCACACTGTCCAGGTTTGTGCCAAGGGGAGGTCACTGCAGTGCTGCAAACACAGCAGTTTGACTGTCAAGGCAGATGGATGCCAACAGTGCATGAAGGAGGAAAGGGAGAGTGACAAGAACGGTTAAAAAAATTCCAGCAATATTGTTCCAGAGATAGTTTCACCATGCAAAACAAAAGCAACTAAAATGAGCCACAGCTGAAGTTATATTGGTATTTGCGTGTCGAGGTCCCCAAGCCACCCCCCAATAAATCACACATCACACATCAATTTTGGTTTGGGTTTTTGGCACGATTTTGGCCACAACTTTATTTAAATACATCCAAGTGAGTGGTTGCTTAGGCATTGGTTCCGACTATCTGTCCTTGCCCAGGGGACAGAACTGACTTCCGGATTCCAGTGAAAGCCAGTGCGGGAAACAAATTTTGGGGAGAAAATGAAGCTGGGCCTCAGTCCCTCACTTCTCACCCTCACGCTCCTGGTGGCTTGCACGGCCCAAGTCCGATGCCAGGGACAAGGACGAAAAGAATGGCAAGCCCCTGGATTCCTTTAACGGAATTCCCTTTCCGCACCACCATTGGAGGGGTAGGCACTTACCCCTTCACCAACCAATTTGAACCAATGCCTAACCGCCAACCTTACAAGTTGTGACGATTTGCTACGCAGTAGGCGAAACCAAATGGCACCAGCCAATCAGCCAAATGGACAAATTCCTACCAGGCCCCTGCCTCAAAGCAGACGACCCCATGACAGGCATAGCAAGGTCAAGCGAACAACCCCCCCCAATACAGGGAGGGTGGGCAGGTGCAAGTAGCCAAGAGAACGCTCAAAGTTGGGCGACCAGTATTTAAAACCTCTGACCCCTCCTTCAAAATTGGCAACAAGCAATTCTCCCCAGCGACCTGATTAACCAATACACTGCCTGGGTCCCTCCACAAATCCACCCAGCAACAATGGGGTGGCTTGTATCCCCCACCGCAACACGTGCTCTCTGCTAGGGAGAACACGTTATATGCTACAAGCGTTGGCATAAACAATAAATGCTCCAAGCTTTCAAAAAGTAGAATTCCAAGTATATGTTAATTAGTCTGTGGTTGCTCCCCAAGATGATGCTAGACACACACAATTTTGCATTACAGAGAAGTCCCAGTGATTTCCTTGGAACTTGGTGTCCCCCCCCCCAAACAACTACACATAAGGCCAGCTAGACAGAGCCAAAGAACTCGTACACACATGAGTTTCAAGCACTTTTCAGAATTAATACATAAATTATTGTTTGTATTATTTATTTAATTTGTATACCACCCTTCCTCCAAGGATCACACGGCAGTTTACAGTTTATAAAAATACCAGTGTACATAACATAAGAACAAACAAAGCAATAACACCTTCCACACACACAGTTTACACGGCCATAGATTGTTTAATTTGCCAAATGCCTAAGAGAAGAATAATGTTTTTGCCTGGCACCTAAAGATAGGTAACGAAGGCACCAGGCGAGTCTCCCTGGGGAGAGCATTCCACAAATGGGGAGCCACTACAGAAAAGGCCTGTTGTCATCTTGACACCCTCCGGACCTCTCGTGGAGGAGGCACACAAAGAAGGCCTCAGATGACAATCACAGGGTCTGAGTAGGGAGAGGTGGTCCTTGAGATACTGCGGTCACACGGTGTATTTGAAAGTCACGCCTCTGAAAGTCATTAAGTCTTAGGGCCCTCCAGCCAGCTGGTTGTGTGTGTTCTGTTGGTGATGGTGTGTATCTGACTGAGTACAGTAGCCACAGGTTCAAATGGAGCTGGCAGACAGCATCTTTTCCCTTGATATGTCCTCACATAAAAATGACTGTTCAGGTAGCCTTTACTACAATGCACAGCTTGGGACTGAGATCATCAATATTCTAAAGCAGACATACTTTCTGCTTCTTCTGAAGCAGCAGATGACATCCAGCAGGCAAAAAGAACGTGTTGCTCTCCAAAAGTTGATGGACTCCAGCTTCCATTAATCCCTCCCAGACAGCGTGACTAGTGACCAGGGATGGTAAGAATTTCAGTTCACAGCATCTTGAGGCCACAGGCTCACCACCTGTGCTCCTACAGACTGCTGAATTGTCAAGTTTTACAATGCAAAACGGATTGTTTTTCTCTCCCTCTCATATCCCGTGGTCTCCAGGAGGTCCTGTTATGTCACCGCAGTGGAATGCTGAAGAATGCCAACAACAATCCAAAACCCTTTGAAAAATATTTACAACTAACAAACATAAAATCAGGGCGAAAGTTTTGTATGGCCATTTAGCTGGGGACAAGATGAGAGGTCGAAGAGTACAGTTCTCTAGACAAGTGTGTTGCTTCCCGGTTGTTTCGTTTACTTCCATCCAAGGCTATTTGTCTACGTGACACATTCTTTTGGCAAGTAACTTCCTTCACAATTTATGATCGTGTGGGGCAGTATAGTACAAATTCACTAAAACAGTTTAAAAAACCCAGCATTTGAATAAGGTGGTGTGTGTGTGGTGTTTATGACTGAGAGGACAAAGTGTTCAGCTGTTGGATATTTATTATATGAAATGTTATGAGAAAGAAAATAAAATACTTCTTACCTGCTTTTTTCAGGTGCACCTAAAGAGATAAAAGGATGAAAACGGATGCTTCCCCAACTGTTTTTGCTAAGATAAAGGGGGTTAATTATTAAACTTTCTACTTCATCATTTCCTAGTTCTGCTGATGCCTTAATCCTGGGTCATTGGAAGTTTAAGACTGCATTACAGTCTTTTTTGTTTTTCCTTGAAGTTTCCAAGTCTGGAAGGATGTTAGGGAAATTGCTGCTTGCATCTGCCTGGGTAGCTGTTGCATATCCTGAATTTTGCAAACCAGGTAAGATTCCATTTTATGTCTTAACCTTCAGTCGCTGTCGTTTTGTCGATCTGGCACATTGAAAACCCAGGGCTGTAGTTCTATGTATACTTCGAAGTAAGCCTTAGAAGTGGGACTAATTTCTGAAGAACCATTTCTGAATACGAAATGATACTGGGTTGTCTTGCAATCGGGGATGCCTTTATTAGGGTTAAATTAACTCTGAGAATCCTGATGGGGCAATTCACAGAACCTTTCCAATAATATCCTCTTTGTCACCAATCGTTCAACACTGGTTGGCAGGTCTCTGAAAAATAATGACAAATCTGTATAAGTGGTCCATGATTTCTACACAATGTGTTGGTGGGTGGGTGGCATTCAAATGTACAGATTTTCTTCTTTTACGTCCGAATCCTAAGCAAAGTTATCTGGAAATCCCCGCCCCCCGACATCAGTAGAACGTTCCAAGTACAGTAATTGTACTTGGGGGTCTCTATTTCCTGAAATATATTCAGAACACATTTATTTGAAATACCTCTGAACTGCCCTTCATCACATTGCGATATAAGGGTGGGGTATTTTCATAGCTGTCAACTTTTCCCTTTTCTTGCGAAGACTCCTATTCGGAATAAGGGAATTTCCCTTAAAAAAGGGGGGAAAGTTGACAGCTATGGGTATTTTTGCTCAACATAACAGGGATAATAATATAAATTAAGACCAACCTATAGAACTACAACATAAAAATACAAGGAGGAGATAAAATCAGAATATGAGCAATAATGATAATAATAATGCTCTGATGCACTGAAGAACACAAATGAATAACAAAGCTCCATTGACTAGTTTATACGTGCATGAATATACATTTTACTTTATCCCTTTCCTTTGTAACAGATGCAGAGAATGCTTTCAAAGTGCGGATTAGTATCAAAAGAGCTCTAGGAGATAATGCAGTAAGTGAAATATTTACACCCACTTTTTCTGGTGAAAGTTTTACAAGAGGCCGATTAGTGTTAACTGTGTTGTAAAAGGGATATAAGCTTGCCTATGAAAGTTATTAAATTATCTATCCAGTAAATTTTCTGACAAATTGTTTTTTCCTTCTTTGAGATCTGAGCAACGCTGCTTGAGGAGATACAATGCTTTTCATCCATTTTAAAAACAAACACACTTTCCACAGCAGACTTCCAGACTGCCATTCTTTTCTAAACTATTTCAAGTACTTACACTTAGTATGAAACACACAGTTTATGAGGCTGTCAAAACCTACTCGAATCTTTATTTTGGTTGTCAGCTGCATCAGTCGAGACTATTGAAGGATTAAATGAATGTTATCAAATACTGTGGTCATGTAACTCTCTCTGTTGGAGTAAGCGTATTTTGTGTCAGCTTCTGGCTGCTTCAGACATCTCTTCTAGAGAAGGAAACAACGGCTTTTGTTCAGTTGCATGTATACCATATGGTGCCACTTGAAAGGATAACCAGCTGTCCTCTACCCTGATAAGACAAACCTGTATATGAAGCCTCACCAGGGTCTGCCCCTCTACAAGCCCCAATGCTCCTGGATCTACCAAGGCAGCTCTGTCAGCTATACCAGTTGTTTTTATTAACATTAACAACATTAACATTTATATACCGCCCATCATCCAAAGATCTCAGGGGGGTTCACAAGATAAAAATACATAATAAGAATAAGAATAATTTATTATTTATACCCCAACCATCTGGCTGGGTTTCCGCAGCCACTCTGGGCGGCTCCCAGCAGAACACCAATAACAATAATAAAAAAGCAGCAACATCAAACATTAAAAACTTCCCTAAACAGGGCTGCCTTCAGATGTCTTCTAAAAGTCAGATACAGTGGACGCTCGGGTTGTGAACGTGATCCGTGCGGGATGCACATTCGCAACCCACAGAGTTTGCAACTTGCATGTGCGCACGTGCGGGTTGCGATTCGGTGCTTCTGCGCATGCGCAAAGCGCGATTTAACACTTCTGCACATGCACAACCGCCAAAACCAGACGTAACCTGTTCCGGTGCTTCCAGGTTTTGGCGGTCCGCAACCCGAAAAAACGCAACCTGAAGTGTCTGTAACCCGAGGTAAGACTGTAGTTGTTTGTGTCCTTGACATCTGAAGGGAGGGCGTTCCACAGGGTGGGCACCACTACCAAGAAGGCCTTGTAGCTTCACTTCTTGCAGGGAGGGAAGCGCCAGAAGGCCCTTGGTGCTGGATCTCAGAATAAAAGCACAAATAAACAGAACAAGAAGAAAATTATAACCCACCCCCGAACACATGTAAAAGGTTGTAGAATATTAGTTTATATGAGGAGAGGCGCACCTTGAGGTATTGTGGTCCTTAGCCATTTAAGGCTTTATAAGTCAAAACCAGCACTTTGATTTGGGCCCGGAAACTAATTGGCAGCCAGGATGAGTGTAACAGGTTCAAAGCATTTTCCCTCAGTGAGCAACCTGGCTGCTGAATTCTGCTCCAGATGAAGTTTCTGATCCGTCTTCAGAGGCAGCCCTATGTATAATGCACTGCAGTAATCCAGCCTAGAGGTTACCAGAGCATAGACAGCCGAAGTTAGGCATGAGCCACATGCCAAAGCTGATGGAAGGCACAGTAAAGGACCCAGGAATACCCCCAAGCGATGTACCTGCTCCTTCAAAGGGAGTGTAACCCCAGCAATGGCAGGCAATTTCCCATCCATCCAGTCTAGGGAACCACCCACTAACAGTGCCTCGGTCTTATTAGATTGAGTTTGTCGGCTGTCATCCAGTCCATTGCCGGGGAAAGGCAACGGTCCACCACATCCACTGCCTCACCTGCAGATGTAAAGGAGAAGTAGAGCTGTGTGCCATCAGCATAACCCCCAACTCTGGATGGCCCCATTCAGCAGTTTCATGTAGATGTTAAACAGCATGGGGGGATAAAATTGAGCCCTGAGGAACTCCACACTGAAGGCTCCATGGGGCTTCTCTCCAAGCATCACCCTTTGGAAATGGCCATCCAAATAGGACCAGAACTACTGCAAAGCCATCCCTAACCTGGACAGCTGCTCCAGAAGAATACCATGGTTGATGGTATTGAAGGCCCCTAAGACAGGGTGGTCCAAATTTTCATACTGAGTGGGTTGCAAGAGTGCTGCCTTGTCAGGGAGCGAGGTCAAAATTTGATGCCCCCCCACCCAGAAGAATTGATGCTTTTGAATTATGGTGCTGGAGGAGACTCTTGAGAGTCCTATGGACTGCAAGAAGATCAAACCTATCCATTCTGTAGGAAATCAGCCCTGAGTGCTCACAGGAAGGACAGATCATGAAGCTGAGGCTCCAATACTTTGGCCACTTCATAAGAAGAGAAGACTCCCTGGAAAAGACCCTGATGTTGGGAAAGATGGAGGGCACAAGGAGAAGGGGACGACAGAGGACGAGATGGTTGGATAGTGTTCTCAAAGCTACCAGCATGAGTTTGACCAAACTGCGGGAGGCAGTGGAAGACAGGTGTGCCTGGCGTGCTCTGGTCCATGGGGTCACGAAGAGTCGGACACGACTAAATGACTAAACAACAACAACACCCAGATTTAAATACCTATAACAGTGACATAATCATTGTGAAATATTTTATTTGTATTATATTGTATTTAAGGATGAGAAATTCATTAAAATAACAATTCATCAGATGTTCAAACCTTTTGTATGTCTAGTGAATCAGCATTCATAGCTATGGGTATATTCGTCTACTGCATCTAACCTACTTTACTGGAACACAAAAGGAATATTTTGAAATTCTAGGAAATTGCAAATCATTCTTCCTAACTAAAGAGACAAGGAAGAGAATTTTTAACCCGGATAAAAAATTACATTGGATATAAAGATACATTAAGTTCAAACTTCATTTAATTACAAATGAACTAATCTGAATTATTGCACAATTAAATGTGGATGCTTTGATGATTTCTAGGTAACATGTTCAAACATAAATCATTTTTGCATTCACTGTTTTGCTCTTTGTTGTTCTTTTCATAGTAGAGATTGGCAACTGGTGATATCCTGGCCAAATCCAGACCCCTAACAGTTGTTGTCTGCTCCCTCTCCCCGCAGCCGTGGCCCAGTTTCCATTCTAGAAGAATAGAATAGGATATGTAGCTGTGATCACGGGATTCAGGATCAGACTACATGTTCCACCTCTGCTGCATGTCTTCGAACCAAGCCTGACTGCTTATTCTTCTTTGCTAAGGACTTTGTAGGCCAAAAGGGCACTTGGAATTGTGCCTGGAACAGAACCATCAGCTCTTTAAACAGTTCTCATGTACAAGTGACAGGCAGCTGCTGGCTAAAGTTTCCAGATTTTATCTTTGTAATAAGAGCACCTTTTGATAGGAAGGCCAGATACAAACTTAAGTACCGGTAATTTAACAAATACATTTAACTAATTTAACTAATAAATACACAGCACATTGTAGTTACCTAGTCTGTGTTTCTCATGAGAGTATTAGCTGAAAAGCAATAAAATCTTTGCCCTCTGTCTCGCTATCCATAACAGTGTATGCGTGTGTTTTTACAGTATACTTGGGATGCTAATGAAGAATACCTGTTTAAAGCAATGGTGGCTTTTGCCATGAGAAGATATTTCAGCCAAGAAACCACCCAGTGAGTATGCCTAATTTTCCTGTCAGTCAGCCTTCCCCAACCTGGTGCCCTCGAGATGCTTTGGATTAAAACTCCCACCAGGCCCAGCCAGATGCAGTTCAGAGCACCCACACTCCAGAATGATGCAGAGCACAAGACTTGAAACACAGAGGACTTGCTAAAGTAATTTGGGATAAAGCCCAAGGCCCTGCTGTTCCAAAAAAGGAGCCAGCAATCCCAAGTGGTCCAGTCAACTAAACATTCAATTGAACATGCCTAAAGTAAAGTAAGAGCCCAGAAGGGGGAAACTTGTTTCCTGGAAACTGGAAGAAAAATAGCAGCAGCTCCTTTTGTTTTATCTGTTTATCATCACTATCTAGCTTGAAGGAGGCTCTTCTGCATCAGATATTCTGAACAGGTTTACATTTGTTTATAAGCATATTTGCTTTTTGCTGGAGCAAGCAGAAACAGTCCCAATGTAAATGCAAATTTTGCACATCCATATTAAGAAATAATAACATTTTGACAAACAGCTTTCCCCCCGTGGTGATTTAACCATACTTTGTGTCTTACTTAACAGACCTGTCAAATTATTTGTGCAATTCCTAAAGGACAACACACTAGGCATTGATCATTCTATGTTAAAACTTACTCACTGTAGCCTTTGTGAGGGTTTGTTACTTCAGTTTCCGTAATCTGTGAATTGTTTAAAATGCTGAACAGATTCTTAGTGTGTCGGGGAAGTTAGAACAGCCAATAAGTAAGAACACTTACTTTCATTCAGATGAGTTACGTTAAATCCTTGAGTGCAACTGGGTTGAATCCAGACCAGTGCCGGAACTACAGAATTTTCCATAGGGGACAAAAGTCTGCCCTGTTGCCCCCTCTCACTGCAGGTTTGTGTCCCCCTGCTAACATGAGAAGGAAGCCTTCATTCTCTTCCTCCATAGAGGTTGGAGTCGGCACCCACCAATGTCGGGTGGCTCAAGACATTTTGCTGCCTGCAGCGAAGGACAAGATGGCACCTTCTCCCAAGAAGCCAATTTGACTGGTAGTTGAATCTTACTCTAATACTGGTGAAAGGACAGTATCTTCCACTGCGCTTGAGGGTATCAGGCTAGCATAGGGAGGACAGGGCAGGTCATATGGCATTTGCAGTTCTATCCCCTCCCTGCACCTCAGCATCTGCCGCCTGAGGCAGCTGCTTCACTCTGCCTCATTGTCGGGCTGCTCCTGTTTCTTCTCTTTGTCAGCCTCCCACCGCTGCCACCACCAAGAAAGGTCTTTGTCCCCTACACCGTGTGTGTGTGTGTGTGTGTGTGTGTGTGAGAGAGAGAGAGAGAGAGAGAGAGAGAGAAACCTCCTCCAGTTGTGGTTTTAATTCGTTTTAAGTTGTTTTAATGCTGTATTTTATAGTGTACCAATAAGTAGTAGCGGTGGTGGTGGTGGTAAATATGCTTTAATTTTTGTATGTATCATGATGGATGACTCCACACTAATTCCATTGATAAAACTAGCAGCAGATGCAACCGAAATACCATAACATGTTATTAAATCTGTAACTTAACATGTAATATATATACCGTATTTTTCGCACGATTGGACGCACCGGACCATAGGACGCACCTAGTTTTCAGGGGGGGAAATCAAGGAAAAAATATGATTCCACCCCCCCCCCCAGCTCTGGGAGCAGTGGACAGGCTGCACGCAGCCTGTGCGCTACTCCAAGACCTTCTCCCTGCTTTTGCGGGAGGTGGCGGAATTCCCCCATCTCCCGCAAAAGCCCGCAGGAGGGAGAAGGGACTGACTCGGCCAGTCAGTCCCTTCTCCCTCCTTGGGGAAAAGCCCCCAAGAGCTGTGCGCTCTGTAAAGGCTGCGCGGCTCTTGCAGGCTTTTCTGCGAGGTGGGGGAATCCCCCCACCTCCTAGAAAAGCCAGCAAAGCCGTGCAGCCCCTTTAAAGAGCGCGCAGCTTTTGCCTGCTTTTGCGGGAGGTGGGGGAATGCCCCCATCTCCCGCAAAAGCGCGCAGGAGGGAGAAGGGACTGACTCAGCCAGTCAGTCCCTTCTCCCTCCTTGGGGAAAAGCCCCCAAGAGCCGCTCGCTCTTTAAAGGGTGCGCGGCTCCTGCGGGCTTTTCTGCGAGGTGGGGGAATCCCCCCACCTCCTAGAAAAGCCAGCAGAAGCCACGGAGCCTCTTTAAAGAGCGCGCGGCTTTTGCCTGCTTTTGCGGGAGGTGGGGGAATTCCCCCATCTCCCGCAAAAGCCCACAGGAGGGTTGGAGAGTAGCGGGAAGGCGTCGCACGCCTTCCTGCTGCCCCCCATCCTCTGGGGCTGGCGATGGGGGAAGCGCTGCTTTTCCCCCGCCAGCCTCAAAGAGCAGACTCTCCTGGCTTCAGCGGAAGCAACGGGAAGCCTCCGGAGCGCAGGCTTCGGAGGCTTTGCCTTGCTATCGCTGAAGCCAGGGAGCCTGCATTCGCTCCATAGGACGCACACACATTTCCCCTTAGTTTTTAAGACGGAAAAACTGCGTCCTATGGTGCGAAAATACGGTAATAAACATCAGTAATAAGTAACAGAAATAGTGTTACAGTGCTGTTAAGCAGCCAGAAGATGTCACCGTTGAACAGAGGTAAAATCCTGTGCCATTTTTTACCTCAGGATCCTTTTTTTTTTTTTAAGAGCCATGTTGCGGATGGATCAAGGTCAGAAGGGCCACCAACATTGGCTCTACACACTGATCATCTCCTGCACTAGCCAAGAAGTGGGTTGGACATTTTAAAGCCCCTCCTTTCTAGTGTGAGCAGCAGAGATGGTGGCAGAACCTCAGCTGCTGGCTTCCATTTTCCAGCTTTGACCACATGGATGGGTAAAAGCAACAAAAGTGCTTTTGTTGCTAGAGCGGAAAAGAAGTATGGAATCAGCTATCATGAGAGACAGATATTGAGCCTTCAGGCCACCAGCTGCCTATTCCATTTGCTTACAGACTTGGACTAATTTCTGTGAGGCAATGAAGTACATACCAGAAATGCAGGTTTGCTCAATTAAAGTGCTTTGACACTCTAACACAAGCATTTTTGTAATGGGCTTTTTGCAGTTAGGAAGGTAATGGGGAAATGCTCCGAAAAGTGTGGGGTGAACAAATGATTAATAGGAAGATGTATACGGTAAATACCCCACAAGCAAATTGGGGTGAATGCTCGATAAACAGGCCTAAGTTGTAAGGAAGAACGATGAGACAGCAACCTAAAAGATTTGGCTCAATGGGCAATCATTGCCTTCCAGAGTCCACTGTGCGACTGGTCTTCTCTCAATGCTCCATATCCTGTTTTCCATACCACATCTTGAATTGGGGATGCAATAATAAAGAACAGCACCTCCTTAATGAAGGGGCTTGATTTCCAGATAATCTTGAACCTGCCCCCTGTCTTTTCACTACAGTACTTAGGACTTGGTTGTCATTATTCCCTGTTTGTTGATAATCCCTTTCTTCTTCTTCTTTGTCCTAAACTATTCACAGAATTTCCAACGTATTGCTCTGCAACGTAACAGATCGGGTATCATTTTGGTTTGTTGTCACAGATTCATCCACAAACGCAACTATTCCTAGGAGTGATGTGGAAGCTGCCATAAGGTACTGCACCAGCCATTTATATCTTCTCACAATTTTGTTCTAACCAAACATATTGTCTGTTAGTAAGCATTTGCATTGCATTGCTGGTCAGAATTGCTTAGAGTTGCATTTATAGCTCTCTGGTAATTCAATCTTGTAGGCTAGATTCCAAGAGAGTGCTGTGTTCAAATCTACACAGTGGGCTTCATACTAGAACAGGGTTTTAAACCTATGTTCTCTGACTCCATGCCCAAGACTTATTTTTTCACATAAATTTCCTGTTATCAATGCTTTTAATCACTTTGAGCTATATATATATATCCCTTTTATTTGTATACTTGTAATAATTGCTTTCTGCTTTTATAAAGCACAGTGGAAATGTACTTTTCTCTCACTTCCTCGTTTTTTTAAATAATCACATTTAAACTGGGAAGTGAGGAGCTTATTTGAGGGGAGAAGAATAGCCCACTTTGGGACCTCCATTATATGTTAGGAATTTGTTAATGATAGTGCCTGTAAATGGGGAATCCAGGAAGGTTTCAGTGGAAAATAGTTGTCATGGGTGTTTTTAACTTGCTGTTGAACTTAGGTTGTTGTTTTTTAATCATGTTATCTTTTAGAAGTGTATTGCCTCTGGTTTGAATAAATGCGAATGTGGCAATGAATGAGACTGCATTCTTCGAGAAAGATTAACTTTTAAGCTTATGAGCAGATTAAACTGTTTTCTACAGAGAAACTCAAAACCAACTTCACTGCAATTGTGTGTGTCTGGGGCGGGGAGGAGATTACTGATTTGTTGGACCAGGGTAAGAATAGTGGAATGCACTTTGTTTTGGCTGCTCTTCGAAGCATTTACACTCTGCATAAGCAGATTTACCGTAAGTCTCTTTCTTCATCCCCGGCATGCAGTTCTAGCACCTTGGACTTAAAAATGTTGGCCATCATGATAGGAAATGTTGGCCAATAAAATAAACATAAAAAGGGGATAAAAACAAACAAAAGGAGGTCCGTCAGATGAACAAGTCTGTCACTCAGATGGTGGCCCTCAATTTCACAGCTCTCTCGATGTACCTTGCGACCTTCTCTGTTGTCTGACTGTCCGTATCAGATAAGAGAAAAAACAGTATAATGTCTTGTGGACGGCCGGGGTTGGGGAGAATGAGTGGAGTAATAATCTCATTCCTTAGGTCTTTATAAAGGGGGCAGGATAGGAGGACGTGGGACACTGTTTCCGTGTTACCATCTCTACATGGGCAGAGTCGTTTTTCAGATGGAGTCTTTTGGTAACGACCTTCGAGTACGGCAGAGGGAAGAACATCCCATCTAGCCAATGTAAAGGCGCGTCTGTATTTTGGGATGGTTAATTTAGACAAATATGAAGCTGGGAAGTCAAAGTGGGCAGGGGGAAAGTAAGTATACCATGGACACATTTTCTTTAAAATAGTCAGGTTGTTTTGCCGTTCGCTAAGAACTAATAAAAATGCTGCCCAGTGCTGAATTCGGGGGGGGGGGGGGAAGAGAGAGAATAGGGTTTTAATGAAATCCACAAGCCATGGTCTCCCAGAACATTGTAAAACCAGTAAGAACTCAACGTGTGATTTGGTAAGAAGGACAAGGTCCTTATACCATAATTCAAGCACCGCTCCTTTTATACGGCACCACAGCAGCCCAAAGCAGACTGAAGGGCTGAAGTGAAGAGGAGAGGAAGGGGAAATCCCATCCCATCCAGTGGCATAACGTTGGATCTTGCCCAAAACGTTTACTTGTATAACAGTTGTTATAAAATGCATCACTATTTGTGCAGTCGCCAACATTTATCATGTGAAAACAAAACAATTAATGAAAGGGGGAAATGAACAAGACGTTCTACTTCGTATCTCTTTTTAAGGAAGAACAAAAACCGAATCAACAGTGCCTTTTTACTGAATGATGATGCGCTGCAGTTTCTGGAAATCTCGTCCACTTTAGCACCACCAGTTGAAGGCTCTGTGCCAACGTGGCTGATTGTGTTTGGTGTTGTCCTTTGCATCATTACGGTTGGAATTGCTTACCTTATAATATCTGGAATTCATCAACGCAAGAGGTGAACGCTGCATGTTTTTATGTTTTTTCATTGGCTTTTAAGGGAACTATTGGTTTTGGGAGGGAGCGGTTGCTTAAAATGTCTTTCCATCCCTTCACTGAGACTTCAAGGGACCTAACAGGAATAATTCAGAAATGAAAAGGTCAATTTTAAAAGTTTAAAAACAGAACTTCCAAATTTATGGATTTTCCCGAAAAGTCAAAGGAGAATAATACATTCACAAACTAGCCACATCATAAACACGCCAGGAGAAAACAGTTTCATTTAGCACTTATCACTTGAATACTGTGAGGCAGGGGGTCAGCCAGATCTACTGAGAAGAATTTGGATTTGATATCCCGCTTTATCACTACCCGAAGGAGTCTCAAAGCGGCTAACATTCTCCTTTCCCTTCCTCCCCCACAACAAACACTCTGTGAGGTGAGTGGGGCTGAGAGACTTCAAAAAAGTGTAACTAGCCCAAGGTCACCCAGCAGCTGCATGTGGAGGAGCGGAGACGCGAACCTGGTTCACCAGATTACGAGTCTACCGCTCTTAACCACTACACCACACCGGATCTCCACACTGAGGCAGTGGGTTCCATAGCCTAGGTACCATAATTGGAGAAGAGCTCTCCCATGTACAAACCAGCTATTCCTTTGAAGGTGGTGGGACACAGAATTGGATCACCGACCTGAGCTGGAGAGCAAGATATACGGGAGGAGGCTGGTCAAATTTGTCGGCCAAATTCATAACAAAAAGGGAAAAGTCATATTTAACTACCAGTTTCTATTTGGGGGCAGGAGAGTGCAGCCTTGCTCCTTCTTCTTGATCTCCCTGCAGCTTACAATACTTGGCCCCTGACAGTAAAGTTATAGAGTGCCACAGGGTGTTATTTCCTCCCCAGTTCTATTTAATATCCGTATGAAGTTGCTGGGAGATTTGGAGCAAGGTGTGAGTACGGTGATTCGAGAGAGGCCATGCTGGATCAGTGCCTGGATGCAGCGGTGGGATGGATGAGAGAAAATAAGCCGAGCGTGAATCCTGGCAAGGAGGCGGCAGTGTAGGCAAGTGGTTCCAGTGTCTGATCAATTGGTCCATTGCCTGCCCTGAATGGGGTTGCACCTCCCCTGGAGGAGCAGGTCTGGATCCAGCTTTGTCACTGAAGGCCCAGGCAGCCTGAGTGGCTAGAAGCATCTTTTACCAGCAGCAAATGGTGTGACAACTATGGCTGTTCCTAGACAGGAAGAGCTTGACCTCAGTAGCTCAGGCATTGGTGACTTCAGGGTTGGATTTAAGTCTCTGCTCTCTTATGTGGGGCTTCCCTTGTGCCTGGCCCAAAGTCTACAGTTAGGGAAGGATGCTGTAGCACAGCTGCTGACAGGTGTGCGACCCTGTCAACATGCAACATCTCTGCACAGAGATCTGCACTGGCTGACAATTTGTTACTGGTCCAAGTTCAAGGTGTTACTACTTGGAACCAGTTTCCTTGTGGGTCCACCTTACTCCATATATGCCCACCTGACAACTCACGGAAGACTACAGGGAATGTGAACGTGGCCTCAATGGGTGAATGGCTTTGGGCCATTTGAGGGAGACATGAAAGTGAAGGCAGTCATGTGAACAAGGCCTCTGAAGATGAGGTTGTAGAAGATCCATGTTGCAATCAAGGAAAGCACTTTCCATTTATTTTTAGCAAAGCTCACCACCCAAGGATTTGCAGCAGAACTATATACTTTTATGGCAGTTAGTATTGCTGATATGCAAGTCCTGACTGAGCTTGTTCCCGCATGTATTATGGAGCTGAAGAAATGCTGTGGCTGACCTTTGAGTCTGTTATCTCCCCATAGCAGCTGATGCTTCATCATATATGGCAGGGGAGGGTCTTTCCCTGTGAATCAGTGGTCGGCAAGGTCAGAAATCAATCTGGAAATGATCCAAGAAGAGATTGCTAAGCTGTTCCTTCTAGTCAAGATGGAAAAAAACAGGGAAATTTTGGTAGGACAGTCATTGCGTTTATCTAAATTATACCAGAGGTGGGGGGCATCTAGAAAATAAGTGGTGTGAAAGGCAGAATAAGCAGATGAAAAAATGGTTGTGACAGAAGCTGTAGGGATATTTCTAACTGTAAATGAAGTTCATTTTTGTTGACGATGCGAGGTTGATGAATGTGCTAGAATCTCAGTTGTTAAAACAGTATTTGCCAACCTGGAGCCTTCCAGCATGCTGGATTGGGTTGGCAAAGACTATCTTAAACATAGACAATGTCTTGCTGCTGGATTACACCACACATACTCAGAGAACTCCTAAGATTGCCTTTAACCAAGAGCTGCATCAAGTTGCATTGGTAAAGAAAAGCACAAGGAATATGCCTTTCTCCTGTGCAGCCCTCACAGGGCAGACTGAAGATCCACATTTATCAGGGTGTGGGCTTTGCATCTTTTGAAGGTGTGGGAAGAGGGCTTACTTACACAGCCAGTAACACTCAAGCCTCGCCTGCTATCTGGCTGCACTGCAGCCCAGATGATACCAATCCACTGTACTAAAATGGGTTTAGGTACGTTGAAATTATGTTTCCTAAGTCATGCTTCTCGAGGACAATAACTTTCTCCTCTACTCTTTTCAGACATAATAAGGCACCTGAAGAAATAGAAGGTTTAGAAGATAAATGTGAAGCAACCGTAACAATGGAAAATGGAATCCCCTGTGATAGCTTGGATTTAAAAGCTGGCCGTATTAATGGAGTCTATGCAGCAGCAGATGACGAGCGGTTCACATCCTTATGAACTGTCTCAGTTTCTCTCGTGCCCTTCCTTGGGACTCTGCCCTCGTTTTATCTAGCAATTAATGATGATTATCGGAGAACAAGAAGAGAGAAAACTTGTGTACTTTGCCTTGTTTTCATTTGGCGATTCCTTTTATAAGCGTGTTCATACATACACACCCAAATTCAGTTCTCATCGAAAGGTTCATGGAAAGAGCAAATCTGACTCCCAATGCTTAATGTTCTTTGGACCTATCAGAGATTTGAGGACAAAGGCCATTTCACAGCAGGAACAGTATTAGTAGGGACAGATGGATCACTCTGTTCCTGCTCCCTATAACTTTTGCATATTTAATCCATAAGCTTGTTCCTTCCCGCATTCAATTAAAAGGAAAAAACCCCAAATGCCTGCACTTTTAAAAATTTAAATATTTTTGAACGTATTTCCACAAAATTATTCTTCCAAAAACACATTTCAAAATGTGTATTTCTGGGATCCAGGAACAACCATTTGGATTTCTCACAGGACCCCTGTGTAGCATTTAAAAAGGCATTTTTGTATGTTTTGAGCCAAAAGCGACATCACAAGATGCAGAGAAGTGCGAAAGCCGAAGAATAACTGCGTAAGGATCTCTATACATTAATGAGGAAGGTTCAGATCACCAAAATCAAATTCTTCAAGCATCCTGACTTGTTACTAGTATTTAAATGTTTAGTTTCCCTTTGCCTTTTACTTTCCGAGTGAGGGGAAAGAGTGAATTGCTTTGATCCAATATATTAACCAACATGTGCACTTCATTGAGGCCCATGAGAACAGAGGATGGGGGAAATGGATGAGAAAGGAACATTTGCTGCCCTTAGGGGTTTACGGATGATCACTTTTCAGAGACATGTTGTCCTCTTGTCGCTGTCATTGTGCCTTTGAAGCAAGTTCATGATCTCTTCTGGAATGGCTTTTGAAGATTTATGCAGGGCTTTAAGAAGTAAAGATGGGGGGGGGGATGACTAGCTTCCTGCTCCATCACTGCTGCCAATAGATGTGCATAGTTTGGTGTAACTGTTATGACCACCTCCGGGCTAACACTCAGAGGTTGAACAGAGGGAAGACGATTAGGAGGAGCTCGTAGGTTGAACCGCAGGGAGCAAGAGAAAGCAACAATAGTGCATGTACTGATATTCAGAGGGAGGAAGCATGCTCAATAGCAGGCCTGTACATGTGTCCTTCTCAACTTGCATGCATCTCTGCCCCTTCATACAAACTGTGCTTGCTGTCTTTTCCAGCTGTAAACCCCATTGAGCAAGGGGATGTATGTCTTTTCCATACATGCTGTGGTGTACTTTTTTAGACAATAAAATACACTATTGCTGAAAGCATCTCAGTCTTTTGAGTTCAAGAACTGTGAAGCAGGTATGGATATCACTACACGAGAGTTTCATTGCGGGGGTTCTGTCATGAACCAGTGACCTTGCATGCTTCTTACTCTCAGAACTGTTATGGGATGTCTTTCCCAGATAGGCAAGATGAGACATTGCTCTGGCTGTCTAATTCTAGTAGCTGCCAACACTCTACTCAAGCAGAGAAGGGATACTGGGTATACAAACAGGAGTTCGTCAATATTTGGGTGTCTCTTCACTTTCCTTTCTACATACATGGAGAAACAGCCACCATACCAAAGGTAACATGTTAAATTAGGCCTGGGCGTATTCAGGAGTTAAGGCAGTGGAGATGTTACTCTAAACTTGTAAGAGCTCATCCAAGCCTTTAAGTATTTCTGAAATCAAAAACACTTGGTTCACTCTGATTAGAAAGGCAGCATTAACTAGTGAAAGGCACAGAAGTAACACAAATACAGTGCCATTTTTCTTGGACTGTTATTTAGCATGTGGGAAAAGACCTGCCTTGGGCACATGCTGGGGTCAAAGAAAAGTTGCTTTCTTGTCCTGACTGGGCTCAGAATCTGCCCAGTGCCTTTCTCATCTTCCACAGGAGGTGTGAATGATAGCCACCTGCCATTGCAGAACTCTCATGAACTCTAGGATGACTTCTGGTCCAAGTCTTGCAGGGCAGAAATATTTAGATTGTCACTGGATGAAGAGTTCTGGGTCTAACTCTGCAAATGCACATCCCCTTCCCTACCCCTGCCTCTCATTCTTTGTCATAGGATGTAGGCCTTCTTGACAGTCAAGCAAGACTTGGACTTGGGGGAAATCATATGAGTCTTGGTCAAAGTGCCATACTTGTCCTCCAGATATAAACACGATATTAAATCCTATGGATTTCAGTGGGACCTCCAGGTAGATTTGCTTACAACAGTAGCCTTACAGCACAATTCTGTGTACGTCTACTCAGAGGACCATTGACTTCAATGGGGCTTCCATAGAACTACAGCATGGGTGGTTCCCTCCAGATAGTGGTGGACTACAGCTCCTTGTCTTTCCTGACCATTTGTGTTGGTTGATGAGAGTTGTAGTCCAACACCATCTGGAGGACACCCCATTGATTAACTCTTAGATTACAGCTTTAAAACCATAGAGAATCCATTTGGTCTTCAGCCATTGGTCATGTGAGTGGGCCCATTAGTGAGCTGCGGCCTAAAATAAGAATCATAGACTCTTAGAATTGTAGAGATGGAAGGGACCATGAGGGCCATCTAGTCTAACCCCCTGTAATGCAGGAATCCACATTTTGCCCAATGCGGGGCTTGAACAGACAACCTTGAGATTGTCTCATGCTCTACTGATGGTATTATTGTAAGCAAAATGACTGTTCTGCCTTACTTGGCAAAAATCAGTACAAGCAAATGAGGCACTCACAAAGCCCTTGAGTCAGACATGACCCTTGTCTTATTAAGAGACAACTTCTTTTAAAGGTCACAGTGATGCTACAACCACTCACTGAAAAATCTCAACATTTATATCCCATACATTTCCAGGAAACAGGTTGCAGCACTGGAATGAGCAAATAGAGCTTTCCTTATTTTCTGTCCAGGAGGCAGACAGACAATTGATGCATCACAGAGACACCAGGCTGAAAAGAGATAAGGTTGTTAGCACATATTCGGGAACAAAGAAGAGCTGAGATGCTTGATACAAGCCTAATTCTTTGCAGTTTTAAAGGAAAGAGGTTCACAGATTTTAACACAGAGAATACCCTTTCAGCTCCAAAAGTTAATTGGTAATTTACATTTTTAAATTGCCAGCTGAGTAGCTTTGTAGTAAGATTTTTGCAAATTAAGTTTAGCTTAACCATCCAAACCTTAGAAATATATGTTTATTGTTACTGAGCTATCTTCAGCGATGTTAATAGATATATACTGTAGTTCGGTACTATTATGTATTGAAATGTTATATGTGTATATTATGATTCTGGGTGGGTGGGTGGGTGTGCAATAAACAATATTCCCAGTTTAAAGATTTCTGTGAGTGCAAATTACTGGGTAAATCTGCCGAGATGCACTATTGCCACTTTATAATGATCCTAATTCACAAGACTCCTAGAACCTATGCGAAATGGGTCAACTGAGAATGCTTGGTAACTTGTTTGAGAAGTAAGGTATTACATTTTGGGGGAGAATAACCAATGTGGTTGATAGTTAAAAATCGGTCCATCACATTCTACCAAATGTCTGATAGTAGAGGAATTGCATTTTAAGCTGGCACCAGAAATATGGCAATGTCTGTGAACAGCAGGCTTCACTGAGGAAAGCATTCCACAGAAGGGATGATGGAGGTTATAATCCAGCAATATCTGGAGGGCCACAGGTTCCCCATCCCTGCACCAGCGGCGGAGCATAAGCCCAGGGTGGGCACGCTCCCGAGTGGTGCGTGGCATTGAGGGTGCCCTCCCAGGTGCGGGATAGCCACTCGGATGCCCGGGGCGGCACGCCCTGCAGCCAGGGGTGGAGCGAGCCGCCCATGGTGGCCATTCAGCGCACCGCCCGCCTGCAATTCCCAAACCTTCCCCAAGCCGTCAAAACAAAGGTGGAATGCCGCTGGCAAAGCGGCACAGCTCCCCCCCTTACTCTGACGTAGGCTTGGGAGTCGAGGGCAGGCGGCATGCCAAATGTCACCCCCCTCAGTGAGGGCACCCGGGTCGGTCTACCCCCACCGCGCCCCCCTTCCTACGCCCCTGCCCTGCACCGGAAGTGATAGTAAAGCACAGGTAGTGTGCAGCTCTGGTACCACCAATCAGTAGTGCTGGCATAAAGGTCTGAAGGTGATCAGTGGTCTAGGAAAAGAGGAATCAGGGGTCTCAGCAGGCCAAAGGAAGAAGCAAGGGAGTGGTCTACAGTAGGGGCTGGGTAGCTTTTCCAGTACAAGGGCTGCATTCCCTCACAGGAAGCCTTCTGGGGGCTATGTACCAGTGGTGGTGAGGGGTATGAAGAGGCAAAAAGGGGGCAACATCATTAGATGTGGCTTCTGACTTTGAGCTGTAGGCCATATTCTAGTCATGGAAAAGTCAAAGGTTTTTACACACACAGAGAGGGGGGGGTGTTTCACAGTTGAAAATACATTCCTTCCAAGCTCAAGCATTTGAGGAAGAAGCAGAGAAGTTAGGAGTGTGAGGTGGGGAGGAGTTGTGGCCTGAGGGCTGAATAGAGAGGCTTACTCTCCCCCTTAGGCCAGAGAACCCCCTATCCCGGTGTAGAGGAATGAGGAAATGGTGAGAAGGACGAGAGGGCAAGCTGGAGGAGGCCTCACAGCCAAGTCCACTGCGACGAGGTCTGTTGTGATGACACTGAAGTCTACATATTGGAGCAAGCCCAATCTTTGGCTGCAGATGACTTATTCTCGTTCTGAAACATGTTCTCAGATATCTGTAAAAATTCAGATATCTGTAAAAAGTTTCCCAAGCTCCGAAAATCTGACAGGACAGATGATAACTAGCTGTTATCATTGACAGGATGTTGGGGAAATATTAACTATAAGTAAAAGCCTTTCAAAAGAAAGCCATAAAACACTACAGGTAATTATGCTTCTCCAAAGTTAATTATTCACTTTTGCATACTTAATTTTTATTTTTTTAAAAAAACGAATACCTACACACCTATCCTAGGGTCTGCCTTTTTGCTAGTTTAAAGGTATAAAATGCCCAGTAGATAGGATTCTGCCTCTTTGCCCAACCTACATCTGAAGGCTGATGAGACAAGCGCTAATAAGGAAGTCTTCTTGAAGGAACCTCGTTCATTTGGTATTTCTTGGCCCAAGAGGAATTATGTTGGCCCAACTCTGCCTTATCTGGAGCTTGGCTCTTCCGACTGTAGCAGGGGATGTGGTTCAAGAGGCTACAGATTTTCTGATGCAATTTAATGCCCGTGCAGAAGACCTGTCTTATGAAAATTCACTTGCTTCATGGAATTATAACACCAACATCACGGACGAGAATGCCAGGAAGATGGTGGGTACCTTTGACTAGCGTTTGTTATTGTGTTTAGGAAATGAACGGAAGCATTGGAAAGATACAACAATATACAGTACTATAAATAAGTTGGAATGGTGAATGAAATAAAGGACTAAGCCTATTTAGGCAGGATGCCAGTGTGGTGTAGAGACTAGAGAGACAGACTAGGACATGGGAGGCTGGGGTTCGAATCCTGGAAGCTCACTGGGTGACCTTGGGACAGTCACTGTCTCTCAGCCTGACCTACCTCACAGGGCTGTTGTGGGGATTACCAGTAAATTAAGAGGGGGAGAATCTTGTACACCACCTTGAGCTCCATGAAGAAAAAGGTGGGGTAGAAATACAAATTATTATTATTATTATTATTAAAGGGTGGGTTTAAACATTATATACTGACTGAGTACTTTTCCAATATACCTGTTTTGTGGCTTGCATGAATTGAGACTGAAACCCATTTCCAAATGGGCAACAGAAACAAATTATTTATTTATTATTAATCATTAGGTAGAACTTTTTTTAAAAAGAATTGTGTCATTTCTAGAATTCCCCATAATGGAAGACAAACTAATTACTCAAACTTCGAGAAGGATCTCAGCTATAGTTTCCTGCCCCATGTGTGCCTCTCGCCTTCTAATGATAAAACTTAAGTTGCCACCTCAGCAGCAGTCAAGCACAATCCTGCAAATGTTAGCCTTGCCGGTGGGGGGGGGGGAGAGCAAATTCACTAAAATAAGATTAACGTTAGTTGTGAGCCATTGGCTGTTAAACGAGTCCCATTCCACTGCTTCCAATAGGAATGAGTTTTTAATAACTTGCTAAGTTGTGTGTCAAACATCTCTTACCCTTGGAAATGTGTTAAGAATAGTTTGAAGATTCCTTTCCGGTATCTGTTTTCAGCAAACAGTGGTGGCTGGCTATATCTCAGCCTGTTATCACTGTACAAATTCCATTATTTATCCATCTAAAATCAGAAGCCATCTTAAGGCCATGTGGTAAAATGGTTTAAATGCCATCAGTGAATAAATAGGGACCACGATAGCCACCTTCTCTCTTAAATCAAGCCGAGTCCCCGTCATTCTTTTATAAATTATTCTGGGAATAATGTTTTCTGACATTCATTTCACTAGATGGGTGTCGCTATTTATGAACACAGTCCCTCTGCTTTCAGCTTTGTATCTCCCAATTTAATTTCCAGTTTGGAATTTCTGACTGCATTTGACATAGGGCAGTTTTAGTTTGGCACATTTCCCCCCTCTGTTTTGATTGCTAATGAAATGACCTACATGTTTAGCAACACAAATTTCCATTTCAATATAAAAACCTAACAGAAGCGTGCTGAGTCAGGCCAAAGGCCCATCTAGCCTAGACTCTGTGTTCTCACAATGGCCAACCAGATTCCCATGGGAACCTGAAGGTAGCATCAGGGCTCTTCCCACCTGTAATTCCCAGCCACTAGTATTCAGAGACCTATTGCCTCCAACAGCGGAGGTAAAACATAGTCATTGTGTCTTGTAACCACTGATTTTATGCTCAGTGAATCATATATATGCACACATACAAATCTTATAAATAAATAGAATAAAGTGTCTGTAGGAGAGGGGGTTATTGGATTGTTCTTGTTCTTGTTTTTACTATGCACTTTGTGTTCTCATTTTGTATTTTTGTGTTGTGAACCGCCCTGTGATCTTTGGATGAAGGGCGGTATACAAATTTAATAAATAAAAAAATGAATATATTCATGCATCTCTCTCTCCCTTCCCATCTTTATTGGTTTTGGAAATTATATCCAACACACATCTGGAACACTTGATACGTACATATAGAGTTGCCATATGTCCTATTTTTCCAGGACATGTCCTCTTTTTCAGGGGTAGGTAGTTGTCATAGTGATCCATAGTTCAAAGCAGAAGTTGGCAAATGTATCCTCTCTTTTTTGTTCTTCAAAATATGGCAACCCTACAACATAAGTAGCAATCCATGGCTACTGAGCATGCTCAGTCATCATTGGGCTATCTTTGTTAGTGGCAGCTAGCCCTTTAGGGGTTTTTTATGCTTTCTACAGCAAGATCGATGTACTCCTTAAGAACTAAAAAGAGTCTCCTGAGCATGTACAGACCTCCTTGTTATTCAATTGCAATATTTTGGCTCCCTTTCTGTCAACACCAATAATTTTATAGTATAAAAATACTGGCATAATGAGCAGTTCTAGATGGGACCGAGAGGAAGGCAGATCTTCCAAATGTCCCTATTTTCCAGGGAAACTTCCGGATTTAGAGAAGCCTGTCCCAGTTTCTGATTTTTATCCTGGAATGTCCTGTTTTTTCCTTAGGACATCCCTGATTTCATCAGATAAATGTTGGAGGGTGTTGAGTTATGTGACCCTTGAGGCAAGGAGATAAGTAACCTCTGAAGGCAGCTCTGTATAGGGAAGTTTTTTTAAAAAGTGTTTAATGTTTTATTGTGTTTTTCTATATGTTGGAAACATACCCAGAGTGGCTGGGGCAACCCAGTCAGATAGGTGGGGTATAATAATAATAATAATAATAATAATAATAATAATAATAATAGAATAGGATGTCCCGATTTTCAGTGGAGAAATGTTGGAGGGTAGGGGAAGGTGCAGAGTGAGTTCCAAGAGAAAGGCAGAGAATAATTTTACACTTCGCCAGGAACAAAGGACAGCTTAGCCCAGAAAGGACACTCTTTTGACCCTGCTTAATGAATGCCAGAGACTGCAGTAGATTAACAGCAACTCTTTTATCGCTTAAAAGAAGTGACACATCAGCTTTAACAAACACAGAGATTCAGGCCTTACTTGTGCTCCAGGGCCCCTCCTTTTTATTGCACATCCATGATGATTTGTGCTCACAATGCTATTGGGGCAGTCATACATAATCTCAGTTTCAATACTCTTTGCGCCTACAAAAGTTTTGAGGCACTCTATCCAGCTCAGTTCTGTCTGCGCTGACTGGCAGATCCTCCTCAGGGTTTCAGGGGAAGTGTTTTCCCACCAGTCCTACCTGAAGATCCCAGGGATTAAACCTGTGACCTCCTGCAGGCAAAGAGGTTTTCTACCCCCGATGCTATGGCCCTTCGTCTGTTCCAACATTCTAGGCATGCCACACTTTCCTGCAAATGTATAATCCATAATTCAAATGGATCTTTTCCAGAATGCAGCGGGCTCCAGATGGTCAGAGTTCTATGAAGAGGTCTCCCAAAATGCCAGCCGTTTCAATGTGGATGACTTTTCTGATTACACTCTCAGACTCCAACTTCAGTCTCTACAGAGCAAAGGGTCATCTGTATTGCCTCAAGAAAAACAAGGCCAAGTATGTTGCTAAACGTCCCTGTTGAAAGCAATTCATTACGTGGTGGTTACAAAATAATTGTTGTTGTTAATTCATTCTCTGGTAATATAAACTATGTGCTGTTATGGAAACTTACACACATTCATGACAAACCATGCTGGAAAACTGCAAACAAGTACTTTTCAGTTTGCAAAATGACTATTTCAGTCCATAATTTCCTTCATTTTATTTATTTATTTTTTTAATGTGCAGTCCCTGCTTAAGAATGGGAAACTGAGAGAAACCAAAACTGATTCTTAGGGCTCTTTTGCTATCGCTTGTAAACCGCAATGCCGTACAACAATATATATAATTCTCTAGTCCTTATCAAAGTATTTAATGAGGCTTACACTCAGGTAGATGTGCTTAGGATCACAGCCTTAGGCTGCAATCCGAAACACACTTACCTGAAAGCAAGCCCCATTGAACTCTGTGGGATTTCAGAGCAACATGCAGGATTCTGTTGTCAATGAGGCATTTATTGCTTCCTCTCAGAAGGCTAAATTTTTACCCATTCCTTTTAAAACAACATTACCACTGCTATTTTGTAACACACACACACACACACACACACACACACACACACTGGTAAAAGGACTGTGACTTTCAGCAGTTCCCCTGCTATTCTTCCCATTGGCTGGATCAAGCTATCCCGCTGGTCATGGTCTATCATAGAGCTAGGAGTAAGGAGCCAGAGGGATTAATTCTGTATCTGAAGTAATACAATGAGGCAAGCTTCCCTGTCAGCTGTGATTCTAAAGCTAAGAATGGGGTGGGCAGACCACAAGCACAGGCTGCTGAGTGACGCTGGCAAAATGGTTCTGCCAATCCAGTTGACGGAGACACGTGCAAGCACAAGGGGCTATAACTCTTCATGTCACCGCATGTTATGTTTCCATTAGTATTTTTAAAGACCTTTAGAAAGCCACTTGCCTGGTTATTTGTTTTAAGAACGAACCACCTCTATCCAGGCAGGAAAGTGGAAGAGAGTTATTCTTTTATTTCAAGCTACCCATCATGCTTGTTAGCAAATTGCCTAGTAAAAAATAAATAAATTGTC